TTTTCCTTTTTAAATCCACTATTACCAGTATTTACTTCCTGACTTCTGTGCAGTACTTACCAACTGGCAGTTTTTGAGTATTGCCAGTGAGGTGAGATTCATCAGCGCACCTCTTGTCTTACACACACGCACGATGTTACTGTTTCAGGACTCTTTCTATGTCCCGAGTGCATGGACAAGTGTTCATTTTGTTTGGGGAAAAGTCAACAGAACCATTTTTCGTATGATGTGTTTTAGTGTGCTGAAGCAGCACTACAGTGGGCTATATCCTCCTCCTTTCAGATTGCGAAAGGATGTCTCCCTCAAAGAGCTGAATATGGAAATAAAAGCAGACCTATACTAAAACCAGGCTGGCTACGCGTTGTTTGTAGGGAATCTTTCCCTGAATGATGAAAGTCAAACGTACCCACAGTAATGAATATGCTTGCTATTCTGACTATATGGTTCCTTTGGATTTCTTTTGATTTCAGTTCATCATGGCTCTTCTGGTTTCATTTTGTGGTTTGTTTGCTTTTTACAGCGATGGTATGGCTCATTCATCTGACAAGTTGAGCTGTTCACTATGGTGGAGTGACTAGAAACTGAGTGGATTTCTTAAACCATTTGCAAATTTATCCTAGCCTCAGGGACTACTGGATTAGTTTAAGTCTTATTAGTGAACATTGCAAACTTTCAGAGCAGTGCTCTGTATACACATGCTTTATTCTCTCTGCTACAGTACCTAGATTAGTTTCTAAAGCCCTCTATGCTCAGAGGGGAGAAGTATACCTAAAGCTGGTGGAGCAACTTCTCTGTATTTGTATTTATGAGTAGCAATCTGGAAGTTGGCCTGCTGCTTGCCCTCTGAGGGCAGAGGAGAATGAGGATGTTCCTGCCTCCTCTCCTGAACCGGCCAGAGACATTGCTAACGTGAGCCCTCCTGATGGGCTCTTTTTAAACTCTGAGCTCACATAGCAGGGTCTGACAGATCTGAAGCAGAAGGCAGAGGGTCTCCCACTCAGCTGGAGGCAGCCAAGGCACAGTAATGATTTTAGCACTCGCTTTTCTTTGTCCTTAGGTGAACTTGCTGTGATAGCAAATACACAAACCCTCCAATTAACTCCCATGTTCTCTTCACCAGGAGAACTCTGCAAAGTAATTGTTCTGTAATGATGGTATTGACTTAGTTCCTATAGTTCACTCTTAAACCAAGGAGTGGGTTTTTTTTTCCAGAAGTCTAAATTAGTTTCTAGTTTTCTGCATTTGTTTGTTCATAGTAATGTATGATTTAAGTTTTGTGTGCAGTATTCACTAAGTTCATCTCTCAACTGGACTGAAAAAAACCAATTACTTTCTGCCAAAACAGTGTAGAAGACCTTCTAGCACACAAGTGTTTCTCAGTAATGGCTTGAACTTTTATAGCAGGAATCACTTTAATTACCCTTTAGTTGTGAAGAGCTGCCTTCTCAACTACTTTCTAAGTTATGAATTGAGTTAAAAGGGTTTTTTCCCTCGTCTCCATGCAATAAAGTTTTAATAGGCTACTGTGGAGTTTATTCCTGCTTTCAGACTCAAGGAATGTAATGCCAATCTTAAATGAATTGAGTCCTCTTCTGATATGCCTCTCTGAAATGTGGCTCATCATAGAGGGGGGGGTGGGGAAAAACCCCCAAAACTTGATGCTCCTGTAGGAGCTTTGGCAGCTGAGAAGATGTCCTGACCAACAGTTAAGGCCTTGTCTCATCTCTAACCCTGGCATTTCTGACGCTGCTCCCCTCAATTACTGTGGTTTTTTCTGTAGTGTTTCTTACTTCAGAAGCTTTTTGCAAATTATGTGCCACTGAAATTCCTTTATGAGTATGTGTTTGGTGAATAGTCTGACATACCTTGGAATAACATGAGTTGTAGGGAGGAAGGTCAAAACAGAAGCAGGTTTGTAGGTACTGCTATAGAGATGTATGAGGGATGGGGAGGCTTCCAGCTGCAGTTGTATCTCCACTGAATGCCTTTAAGGGTCCAGAATTTGGGGGGCTGGGAAAGAAACAATCCTTAAGCGTTAAGTAGGACGGTATCTCTCATTGTGTTTGTTCAAGTATTGTCTTAAGTATTTTTAATGATTGTTCTTAAATAGCAAGATTAACTGGAACAATTCGTACAATCCTGGGCTAGTCTTCAAAGTCTTTATCTTGAGTTTGTAATAAACATTCTCATGACCTTTTAACCATCTGCAGTCCTTGATGCAAACTTCATAAGGCAAGTTTTGTTCACTTGCTCTACTAAGTTTTTACTTCTTAATTTCTAATAATTTTTAATAAAACCTTACTGTAACTTTTGAGCTTTGACTGTTTTACTGTCAATAAATAATGAAGACAAAAGGCGATCTTGTTTCGGTGGGTTTTTTTAATAGGTTGTTGTAATGAATGAACTGACACTAAAAATACTGAAAGATTGCCTTCCTGAACGTAGGAGTCATGAAATGCCACTGTGTGTGAAGTGACAATAAGTTTGCTTTTGGCTCAGGGAGCAGCAAGCTGTTTCCCGACTGTTTCAATGGCTGGTGCCAGTTCTTGTGCAAGCCTGGAGGGGCCAGGGTGCTTCTGGCTCAACCTCTGGTGGAACGTGGGCCCCTGGACCTGTTTGTACCGCATGTTTGATCCGAGGGGAAGGAGAATGCTGGCCCTCTGGAGGACAGAAAATGAAGTCAGTGGCCTTTACACCAGAGGTGTGTGCAGGTGGATTTGCACATAACGAACTAATTTGGGCTTGCAGGTGGGTCATTTTGCTTAATCTTGCACCATAACCCATGCAAGGTGCAGAGGTGGCACACTGCATCCTACAGTCCCTTCCTGCCCTGGAACTCGGTGTTTCACTGCTGCCTCTCCTCCTGCTGTCCCTGCAGTCATCTCCCTCCTGGGGGAGCGTGAGTGTTGCTTCTCTTCCTTTCCTAGGGCAGTTGCTGCTGCCTCTGATCCGTTCAGTCTCCTGCAGGACTCCAATTCAATGTGCACCTCCCAGGACAAATCCCCTAGCCCCAGGCTGGCCTCATCTCACAGCTCAGCCATGCAGGAGCAGTAGTTTATGCTTATGGAAGGACACAGGATGGAGAGGACCAGCAGGGCTGTACCCAGCCCCAGCATCCTTCCTGTCATGTTCCCCAGCTTCCTCTGGTGTTCCTGGGCTCAGTGGCTCAGCTGGAGGAAAAATCCCAGACTTGATCTCTCTGTGCAAAGCTCTGTGTGCTTTAAAGCAAAGGTTGGGTGTAAGTATCCTGCAGAGGAGAAAAATGTACAGCGGGGAGGTGAGGCTGGGTAACCTGACAGGTGATGCTGCTTGGACCTCCTAGGACAGTGACTTTCAGTGTGCCCATCTCTTTGGAGTCTATTTGAGTGATGGACTCATAATAAGCAGCTAGGATTATTGTCCTGTCTGGGTCCTTACCATTGCTCCAGGACCTCGGCATCTCTCTGATGATCGGAGTAGGACGAGTGCTTTGATAATGTAATCCTTTCCCAAGTTTCAACCTTCAACCCTGTGGCTCTTGGTTAAACTGAAACATTGCCCTCACATTTTGCTGAAACATGTCTGGGACAGACACAGAAACCTCTGCTCAAAGTGGAATCACTTAAAATAAAGTCAATAATATCTGGAATACCTTGCATTCCTCTCTAATGCATGAAAAAGCCTTAGTACTTGGTGTGACCCGTCTCCACATGCTGCTTATTTGAGTTTGTTTTCTTACCCTCAGTGGCTGGGGCTATGAAATACAGTGATTAACTGGACTATTCCAGAGGCTAAGGCTGTCCAAGAGAAACTTGCACTGGCCCTTGTTCCTCCTGCAGGATTTGGGATTATGCTATGCAAGATAATATTTCCAAATGCTTCAAAGAGATGAGTTCAGCCCATGGGAATGAGATGCTTGTAACAGTTGTCACTCAGATGTGTTTAGGGAGATGATGAAGCTGAGTTAATTGTTGCGTTCTTGTGAATATTAAAAGCTATCCAAAGCCAAGGAGCTCACCTTGTACTCTGAGGTATTCACAGTGAAGAAACATTCTTTAGATATTGCTGGAACTGCTATAAAACTTCTACTACAATGCTCAAGATTGGGAGCTGTTCATGAAACCCTCATTAAACTGACAGGTAGCTTGACTGGTTATTGTGGAAATAAATCTGGTTCCTATAGAAACCAGTTGCTTGTGACTGGTGGGGCTGTGGAACAAGTCTGTTCTGATAATTGCACACTCTCCCGATGAGGCATTTATGGGCATTATGCAGTGTTTTATCAGCATTAGCGGTTCTGTCAGGAGCTGCTAAGGGGATGCTGCTGTATTTTATGAAGGGGAAACAGCTACAGAAAGGTGAAAATAGAATTTTTCAAATTTCTGTTATTAGCTGAGACGCCAAGGACAGCTCTTAGGTGGAATTTCAAATTGGCCGTCTTCTCTGGAGACCCTCTGCTGAGTGCATAAGTTTGGGATCTGGCACTGAATGCAACTCGCCCGCTGCTGCAAAGTGAGTCAGGGCCAGAGCAAGACCCCAGCTTCAGGGGGCCCAATTAATAAACCCCCAGCTGATCCATCACACCACACTTTCTGTATTGCTTCACCTATAGATTAAACCGGCTGAAATATATGTGCTTTTGTACATTATTAGTACTGACAAGTACAGCCTGTGTGTTTTAAATCTTCAAGTCAAATTATCATCTGCGTTTCAAAATGGAGTACTGTGTTTCTGACTGATTAAGTTGTGGCACAAGGCACTGGCAGTTAATTACTACTTTATAATCGCTCCAGTCCTGTACTGAATTTCAGCTTCTGAGGAACCCTGTGGGACTTGCACAGATCAGGGCCAACTTGCTCTGATCTGGTTGAACAGGCTCATAATGATTGCTACCCAGGATTAAACAAAATGGGTACTTAGTGAAATGCAATTCCCTTTCTTTGTCATGGATAACTTTAATCAGTGTTTTGGGAACACAGGAGGAATCTGTAAGCGTGCTCAGCTCTATGACTGTTGGTACCATGGTCCCAGATCTCCAGAGGTTCCTGCTGGCAGCAGCAGTGACGGCTGAGTTAATTCTGCCGCCTTCTCTGTCAATCAGTTGGAGTCTCGCTGCGTTAGAGACAGGAACGGGGGAAGAGGGAGGAACAATTTGTCAAGATAAAAGCACAAATCATGAGAGAATTGGTTTAAACTTCATAAACTTTCTTAAACTTTCCAGGTTTTAAGATTAAGGTTAAAACTTAAGGTTTTAAGATTGATCAGCAGAAGAGATGCAGTGAGCTGTAGGTATGGCTGGTGCTTGTGCAGAGCTGTGTTGCAGGTAGGTCTGTGTGGTCCCAGCACACACAAGCTGTGTGTGTGCTGTGTCTGCAGGTGGCCCTTCGCATCCATCCCATCAGCGAAGCAGAAGTGGAGGAGGGAGCTGCCCTTGTTGCCCACAGAGTGAGCGAGCAGGTGAGCTCAGGGGTTGTGGCTGGGCTGTGGGAGACCCCCTCATGACAAGGACCGTGGATTTGGCTGTGCGAGGTCTCTGGGTACCCCACTGGGCCACCACGGGACTCCAGCTATTCTGGTTCCCATGCAAATGCTTCCTTTCAAACCCTGCAAAGCTCCTGACCTTGCTGTGGCACAGCAGGGATGCAGCTCCATGTACAAACGGCTCTGCTGCTCTGCACCTTTCACCTCTTGTTCCTCTTTTTAAGAGGCGGAGTTTGCAGGAGGTCCTGACTTAACCTTTTCTACATCATCACATCTAGTGACATATTTTTATTGTGCCCTTGTTATTTACCTTCTTTTTCCAATGTAAATCTCATTATTTTTTATCGCGCTTCAGCTGATCTTTCTCTGAACCCTCTCTGGACGCACGCTAATTCTGTGATGTATCTTGTCTCCACGCAATAGTCAAATGATAGCAGCCCTCAGAAGCAAAGAGAGCATGAAACTCTCTCTTCTTTTAATGGATTATCTTACTAATGCAATTTTTGTTTAGCACCTTACTGGCAAAACATTTTTTTTTCTTTTCCTTTTTAAAGCAGCCGTTAACATCACAAGGATATCAGCTTTATTTATATACAGCTTATTCAGGCTTGCATCATCTGCCCTGAGATCTATTTTCTCTAATGGAAATATGAGAAGGAAATGTGCTTGACATTAGACTTAGTAGCTTCTCTCCATGAGAATGAGTTTCTCTTAATAATGCAAATGACTGTAATTATGAAAGCAAATTAATTGACTGGGCAGTAGAAGTGCTTAGATTTCTTGGTGTATTTTTATTTACATCATGTTCCCTGCTATTTTTACTCCTAGCCTTAACTCATTTAGAGCTGCTTCTGTCTACTTATTAATCCTGACTCCAAATTGACTCTGTTAGTGTCTCATTATGTTTTAATGCTTCCATGCAACAGCAGATTTATGCTTTTAGATTACTGCAGGTTAGACAAGGTGTTAGCCCCAGAGTGGAAGAGAAGGACTCTTTTGGATGTGTGGATATATTGTGAGAATAATTTGGACATGGACACAGTAAAAGGGGCCTGAAAGTGTTACAGAGGAAATCTCTAAAGGAAAGACGCTGACCTCATTCTCCAAGCTCTGCTCTTGCCTCACACCAGCACATGCACACCACTATGTGTCGGCTGATCTCTCACAGGCAAATGCTGTCGCTGAGGATAAACAGAGTTCCCTTTTGTTTGTTCTTGCCTTGCTTCAGGTTTTAGCGCCTGAGCTGGACCAGTGAAAACTAAAGAAGAAAAAAAGTCATTCTAGTAGTTGAAAACTTGCAGATTAAAACTAGAGATGCACGTTAGAGACTTGGCGATTTGCAGGAAATGCAAAAGGAAAATCAAAGTCTTGATGTTTCCTGAACGCGCCCGTGGGCACTGGTCCTAGATACTTGTGTCTCTCCTGTGCCTGGCACACCAGTGCAGTTGTTCTGCAGATCAAGTGGTGGTTGATCTGTGCTCTAATTGCTTTTCTAATGATCTGTTTACCTGAGAGAGATCAAAGGTTGCTCTGGAGCAGGAGGCACAGGGTTCTCTGTCCATTCCCTTGAGGCTTGAGCATCTCCTATGAGCTGTTTCAGTGCAGGAGAAAGAATACCCTTTTCCACTGTAATTACAGACTCTGATAATTACGTACCAAACTAGATCTTAAGGAACTGAAAAGAAACCGAACCAATTCTGTAACCTGCTCCAACTCCTCTCCCACCTTTGTTTTTCTCCTTAATAAAAGCCAGATATGGAATTAAATTTCTGTCCTTGAGCAATGCAGATGTTTCTGTCAGTCCTTCTGCAGGAGAGGCTTTGGAAGATGACTTTGGGTGCTTTTGCTCCCAAGGAACTTAACTATTTTCTCTAACAGCTCCTCTGCCTGAATCTTGGCTGAAAATGGAGCTAAGAAGTCCTGTTTCCCTCCTGCTTGGTTGGGTGTCACGTCCCTGTAACAACTGCTATTACCCAACACCAGCGACTGTTCTGCTGCCCAACGGACCTCCAGAGCATTTCGCAGCAGCCACTGGTTCTCCAAATTACAGCAGCTGCCACATTGGTTGCAAAACAAAGCTTGTTGGCCTCAGCATTGTGCATATAAGTGTGTTTTCCACCCAAAGCTGCAGTGCAACGTTCCTTTGGCCAAGAGATGCGATGGGACAGTGCTGTAAGAAACCCTGACAGGCTGTTAACCCAGATGGTGGGTTCTTCTGAACCAGGTGGTTCTTCTGACTTTATAACAGAGGGTGGTCTGTTCTGCTGCCCAACGGACCTCCAGAGCATTTCGCAGCAGCCACTGGTTCTCCAAATTACAGCAGCTGCCACATTGGTTGCAAAACAAAGCTTGTTGGCCTCAGCATTGTGCATATAAGTGTGTTTTCCACCCAAAGCTGCAGTGCAACGTTCCTTTGGCCAAGAGATGCGATGGGACAGTGCTGTAAGAAACCCCGACAGGCTGTTAACCCAGATGTAAAGGTGGTTCTTCTGACTTTATAACATAGGGTGGTCCTGATGGATCCAAGTGAAGTCCCAGATGACACCTTGCGAGCTAACAGATCTTGAGAAAAAGCATTTGTGTTTGACATGGTTTTTGATCACAGAGCAACCCAGGTAACATCCTTCCCTTTTTTTAACCAAAAGGCTTAGTATTAGAACTGTTTTTCCTTTAGTCAGAGAAGCGGGGAGATGTGCAGCGTTCACTCTGCTTCTCCCCAACATCAGCACTCCCCAGTGCCGCACACCTGAGCAGGGGTGAAGTTTTGTCTCCCAAAATGAACGAGGTGATTGTCACTTTATTTGGCTTTATTGCTCACATCCTTCTTCCCAGTGCCTCTCTTGGCTCATGAAGCGAGCTCTGGTGCCCTCACTGAGCTGATTCTGCGGACATGATAGGTGCAGTGCGAGAATTTCCTCAGCACCTGTATTCTGCCATCACCATGGTGTGACTGCAGCCTTGCCTCTCACAAATAATTCAGCTATCTTTGCACTCTTTCATGTGAAACTTCAGCATAGCACCCTTGTTCCTATCTATGACATTTTTGGAGGGCCAGTGGCACATCTCAATAAAGGATAAAGTCAGGGAGAGAATTTATTCCCACCTTCAGCAGACACAAAGGAAAAATAAAGCATTCTATGTTCGGAGTCCAAAAAAATAGTCATATTTAAGGACATTTATTTTAGTAAGCTCCTGAATCTTGCCTGCCTTTAGAAAATTCAATAAGCCTCTGTGCTTTTCTGCTCATTTTGAAGATTTGTCAAAATTCAAATGGCTCACAAATCATTCCAAAGCCCAGAAAATTTGTAAAATATAGTGAGAAAATCATAGGGAATGCAATTAGGTATAGATTATTTGGACAGCTGTTGTGCCTGACCAAAAATGTATGCTTTTTTGACTGAATTAGGAGGAGGTATACATGTCCACGACCAAAAGCTTGATAGAAGCAGTCATTTCTGGCTACAATGCAACTATTTTTGCATATGGTCCAACAGGTAAAGTAGTCCCTGTAGCTGTAGTGTTCTAGATGAATAAAATGTATCTGTACAAACCAGAAATGAACTGTAATGCAGATTAATTGCTTACTGTGAGGATGAGACTGAAGCATTAAAATACCATTCTCACTGGGAAGTGTGGAGCTCCCTTAAATGCTGAAGTAACTGCGAAGCTGTGCTGTTTGAGAAGTCAATTAATTGGGGTGGGATTCAGTGGAGACAAATCTTCCCATTAAAAACAAGGAGGAGATGAGGGCATGTGTAAAACACTGATGACTGATCTCAGGAGAACAGATGTAGCTGTAGAAAGCACTTACAGACTATATGAAAATATATTTATGCTCTAGCTCTGAACACCTAGGTGAGCAGTTAACATACCCATCTGCAAGTCCTCTTCCTACTCGTTTGGGATGGCACATGCCATGCTTTTCCTGAGGCAGTGTCACTGTGGGATCAGGAACAGGAGTAACTGAAGAAAGTTTGGGGATGAAGGACAAAAATCAGTAGGAAAGCAGGCTTCATTTGTTGTGGAAACTTGTTCACGTGGAAGTTGGACTTTGCTGCTCTTCTTTGTTTCTTAACAGGAGCAGGAAAAACCTACACGATGCTAGAGATGGACTGTGAGTCAGGGATTTACATCCGCACTCTTGAGGACATCTTCAAGGCCCTTGAAGCTACCACCAAGGAGGTGGATTACAGGGTCTCCATGTCCTACCTGTAGGTGAAGTGTGTGTGTTGCCCTGGATTCAGGCTATGTGGGAATTCAGCAAGCCCTTGGGAGTGGAGCGTCCAAGTCTGCCCGCCGCATGGCACTCCCCTTGTGTTGTGCAGCTTGAGTCTTCCCTTCCACCCCAAAGAAACACAGAATCAACTCAACCCTCTTTGCAGATTGAAGGACCCAATGCTTGTCTCACACCAACCCCTTGCTTCTTACCCATGGTTCTATAATGAAGTGATCCAGGACTTCCTGAACCCATCCTCAGGGTTCTTAGACCTGAGGGAGGACCCCAGAAACAGCATCTAGATAGCAGGAATTACACAAGTCTGTACTACAAATGCTCAGGAGGTACCAGGGGCTACAGTCCATGGTGAGGAGATTGTGCTCGCATGCAACAGTGCTTTAAAGTCTTTTTGATACTTTCCCATTGCCTGTACCTTACTCAGTAGCCAGGACCTTGGTGGAGCTGGATTAATGTGATGAATTGTATGGAAATGGCTGGTCCTGCTAGCTCTGCTTCCCCAGGGTGCATCCTGCTTTGCTGGAAGGACAGAAGTGCTTTGATTTGTGTACATATCTGTTGACAAACCATTTGGAGAGGGAGAAGAAATAAAGAAACCCCCTTGAGCCCCATTGATGTGCACTTCTACGTGTGCCTTGGACATAAGATAAAGATGCCTCCCAGGAAAACAGCCCCAAACTCAACAAACCCATACTTCCAAACTGGGAGATGTGGGGAAAGTCAACAGCAAAACCCCTGTTAGCATGAGTGGGAGCAGTGTTTGCCTGGGCCCCAGGTGAGGGGTTCAGTCTGCTGCTGGTTGTGCAATGGCTCTGGTAGGGCTGTACATCTCTGCGTGCTCTTTTGTGTTGTTCAGATCATGCAGCTGCTGATGAAAGGAAACAAGCAGCACACCCAGGAACTCGCTGCTGCCAACAAGACGTTCTCCTGCTCCCACGTGGTGCTGCAGGTGACGGTGATGCAGAAAAGCCGAAGGGAGGCGACCAGCGAGGAAATGAGAACTGGAAAGCTGTTCATGGTTGACCTGGCAGGGTCAGAGAGAGCAGCCCAGGTATGGCTGGAGCTCAGCAGCTTTTGAATCCCCTGGTCTGCCGCGCAGGGTCTGCATTCCTGTCCTCACCTTGGGGAAGCCACCAGCACTGTGTGTTCCTCTGTTGCTTTAAAGACAGCCTGAAAAGACAGACAAAAGTTTGATGACACTGGTAATACCTTTTATCAGACCAACCAATTGGAAAAATGTAAACCAGCTTTTGGGTGCAGCCTTTTCTCAGGTCTGAAGAAGCAGCAGCAAATATCACATCTAAATTGAAGCTGAGGTCTGTAAGGCAGGGATTGGCTGGGTTGTCAGAGAGAAAGCTGATACCAGTGGAACAGAGGGATGCTGGTGGGTGGAAAATAATGCAGCTGGCTCTTATGGGAAGGAGGAGATGCTGGAACTCAGAGAGGTGATTTGATTGAGAAATACATACCCCATATTTCTGCTGAGACTAGGAATTCTGGAGTGATGTAGTTATACATCTTAATATCTGAAATAATCTTTAGAAGATAAATAATAGCAGTCTTTTAAACACCAGGAGCTCACAGCTGGGTCATGTTTTCCATGAAAGAAATGAACTCCTAGCAGCACCTCTGTGCCTCAGAGTGGGGTTTAACCCTGCACTTTCAGGTTGATTTTGCAGGAGGCGTTGCTTTGGCATCCAAACCTTGACCCCAGCGATGCCACACACCCTCCCCAGGCACAGACCCACTGTTCTGAAGCCTGTGCTTTGTCCATGTGCCCAAGTCCCTCCATCCCTGTCCTCCCAACAGACTCAGAACCAGGGCAAGAGGATGAAGGAAGGAGCCCACATCAACCACTTGCTACTGGCTTTGGGCAACTGCATCAACGCTTTGAGTGAGAATTGGGGGAGCTGGGCCCAGTTTGTCAGTTTTCGGGACAGCAAACTCACCCGCCTGCTGAAGGTATCGTATGCTGGGGTCAGCAACGAGCTTGGTGTGTCTGCTGCTGGTATCACCACCCAAATCAGACCGGGCTTAAGAAATGATCCTGGAATATCTCTGTGCATTGTCTTCATCCAACTTGAAATGCTCCTCCAGATCTTGAATAAGCCTTCAATGCAATCAGGGGTTGACTCAGTGCTGCCTCTATAATTATATGTTGTCTTGTGATCTGTGCAGTTAAGGAAAGACCTCCTACAGAGTTAAGGAAATGCTATAGATTTGAGTTGTGTGTCTCTAAGTTTACAGATTATGTGTTTTGGGTTTTGTTTGTTTGTTTGCTTGTTTTAAATGCACTTATCGCCTTTGAAAGTTTCATTCCTTCTACAAGATTTGGCTGAAATTGGCCAATAAATCTGGATGTTGTTGGGGTAGGAGGAAGAGGGGCTGAGTGTTACTGTGCTGTCATAAGTCGTCTTTTCCTTAGGAAATCATAAATGTTGCAGACAGGCTCTTTGCTACACTGGTTATTTTATGGATCCTTTACAACTTCATTTATGAACCTTACCTCAAGCCTTGGTGCTGAGCTCCCACTGTCACTGCCTGACAGATGTGTTTCATAGAGGATGGTGGGAAGGAGAAGGGATGGAGGAAAAGGCTGGCTTCTGTTGTGAGCAGCATTGAGAAGCTGCCAGCCTATTTGTGGAAATTGCGATTTTCTTGCAAAAATTCTTTTGTAGAAAGTTAATTAGTTATTGATTTTGCAGTTGATGGAGAGAGGGCCTAATAAATGGTCTTTTACCAGCACTTCCTTCACTCTTAATTGGGATTCTCCACCAGAATCTCAATGAACCATAAGGGTACCCAGCCACAGTGGTTACCACCAAGCACAACCCCTGTGTTGTCCATACTGACCTCATCAACACTGCATCCCTCTAGGACTCATTGGGGACAACAGCAGGACTGTTATGATTGCTCTTATCAGCCCAGCCAGCACCTCCTTTGAAGAGTCCTGAATGACCTTGATCTACACCTACAGAGCAAAAAACATCAAGACACAGGTAAATAAGCAAGCAACTCCCAAGGGGGTGGGCATTAGAGATTAAAAGCCTGCAAAGTGGAAGCAGAGGATGTAATGGATGAAGGGAGAACAAACTTCAGGAGAGGGCAGTGTAGGAGGGTGTAGAGGCTCGGTGTGAGTGATAGAAGAAAAGCAGGAGAAGGAAACAGTGGAAAATGAATTATGTGGGACTTGGATGAGAAGAGGAATATGAAGGTCAAAGTAGGGGAGCAGGATCATGGAAAAGCAGAGGATGATGTGCCTGGTACAGACCTGAGTGCAGAACATAGGGAATGGTGGTTGGACGATGACTGTTGAGAGGACAATGTACAGGGAATGTCCCAGTGGGGATGCTGGGCCTGGAAGAGGGAATGCAGAAATGAGGAATAAAATGGAGAGTTTACAATTTCCCCACTCATGAGGAGAAATTCTTCCCCATCATAGGATTCAGTGTCCCTCTAACTAAAAGCATAGCTTTGTTGGCAGCCATTGTACCAGTAATGGACCATGGGACAAATGCTCACGTATTCTGGCTCACCAGGTAAAATGTAACCTGCGAAACATCTCCTACCACATCGACCAATACATCAGCATCATCACGGACCTCCGCAGGGAGATCAAACACCTAAAGGAGAGGGTCAAAAACCAGGGGAAGGAGAAAAGTACAGTCAGCACCAACCTCGGGAATCTGCAAGGTAGAGCCAGGAGCAAGGATTGTTGTGGAGTATCCAGAGGGAAGGGAGCTGGGGCAGGAGCTGTGGTAGCACTTGGTGGGCCTCTGTGCAGACGTAGCGGGGGGAAGCTGGTTCAACAACGCTTGTAGAGAAACAGAGCGGAGAACAGAGTCTGATGGGGAAATGAAGTCGTTTTCCTGTGTGAGCCTGTCTCTGATGTGCTGTGTGATGCTGGACAAAACATTCAACTTTCTCAGCATTAAAATGTGTTAAATTTCACAAGCCTGCCCTTGAAAAGAGTTTTGACATCAAGTGGTGGCATTTGCTGTGGGAAGTTCTGACTCTTACAGAGACGTGACCGAGTTTGTAGTCTGCGTCACCATGGGCTCTGAGGCTGTGTCAGGACACGGAGCTCTCTTGTACGGTTCATTACACTTAATTAAAAAAGAATATGGAGGGGGGCTGGGCAAAGCTTTTAAAACATTGATCGTTCTGCCCTGAGGATTGTTCCTTTTGTCAGCGAATCTGGCAAGGAATGAAATAAAAATAGTCAAGTTCTCTGACAGACAAGACACGGGGTACAATTGGTCTCTGCTACCAGTACCCAAGGTCATTTGTAGGTAACAAGCACAGAAAACTGATACCTTTTCCTTTTTGGTGGATGGAAAGGGGGAAGAGATGTCCCTGTAATACAGTATCCTCTTAATAGTCACAAAAGCAGTAGCAGTGAAACCTATTTGTTGCTAAAAATACAATCATAAAAATATATCAGATTTCTTAAGCACATGATTAACTTCAAGAGACTGCAAAATAAACCAGTCCTATAAATGAACACCTTTTTACACACGGACTGAGTGGCTTGGTCCCAGAGCAGTTCTGTGGGGACTTGGCAGAAGTTTACCTGGCCTAATGTCAGACCAGAAACATCTTCTCCTGCAGCAGAGAGGCACCAAGGCTCTGAGGCACACAGTGGCCGAGTAATAAACACCTTGCGGGCACGGCGGATGGGGGCTTTCAGGGGGCAAACGGAGATACAGCGCAGTCTGATGGAGCTGGAAAACACCAACGTTGAGCTGCACATTGATACCTGCAGGCACCTCCTCACCATCACGGAGTGAGTACCTCCTTGGCTTTCAGCACAGTTTATATGTGGACCTCCAAAATACCATGAGAAATGCCAATATCCCACAGTTCTCCCAACAAAAATGACAAAAGGATCATGCATGGTTTTGAGATTTATCGATGTGACAAGCGAAAACTTGGGAAGGTGGTGGTCTGCAAAAGGTACCCAGGGATCTAAGGGGCAGATTAAGTCCATGTGACTCTGAGCCTTAGATTAAGGTGCTATATTTGCAACGGGTGATTTCTGCTATCAAGAAACAGATCTCTAATCCCTCCTGTGCTTGTGAGGAGACTGCAGCCTGCACATGGTGCTGCACTGCGGTTCAGTTGTCTGACGTAGCTCTGTAAGACAAACAGCTATCTCTATCATAAAGTTATTTGTAAATGGTAGGTACCTCACCTTTATTTGGACCTTATTCTGGACTTGAGTTTTAATGGAAAAAACTGGATGGCAGCACAGGCTGGGACTGCTGGTCCTTGTTTGTGAAGTGTTGTCCATCCAGATGCACTGCATCTGGGCATAATTTCATGTCAGAGAAAGCAGCATCGTCACTTTCTTCCGGATAAACTATAAGTGAGGTCTCTGTAAATTTTATAATCTCTTAGGATTTGGTCATTTGTAGTTAAAACAGTCTTCAGGTCATTAAAGACATTTATCAAGTACCTGTGAATAGGCAACAATTTGTAATGAGGCCGGGAAAAGCTCTGTTCTCCTCTCTATGGAAAGGTCACATAGGACGCCTGTCTTAAAGACTTCCAAACAGGAGGAAGATAATTGTGCTCTTCTGCATGGTTCGTCCAGCTCCACAGCAACCTGGACTAATTATTTCTGCTGCTGTCATGGAAGAAGAAGTTGGACAGATACAATGAAGGGCTATGCATGGATCGCTAGAGTTGTGTCACCATGTCCCAGAAGTTCCTTTCTTTTTCTCCTGGCAGCTGGGAACAAGAGAAGGCTCAGGGTGCAGGCAAGTATGACAACCCAGCAAAGGAGGAGAAAGATGAACACACAGAGGAGGAGGACAGGGAAGTGGATATGGTAGGTTCACCTGAACCTCATGAAGTTACAGTAGCAAGAGGAGAGATCAACCTGCTGCTGGCAGAACAGTGCAAGACAACAGCCCTGAAAGTGAGGAGGTGAAGGTGCCCTCATGGTCACAGCTCTGACCTCTGCCCAGCAGGATGGCAGCAGCATAACTCAAGAGTTTCTTGTGGTTTTGGGCAGCTGGACACTTAACTACCTTGGGATGCCGAAGGAAGCAGCATGGGATAGCTGATGTTTGCATCCTGCCTCCGTCCCTGTGCTTTTTAGGATGAGGGGAAAGCACCCACTGGACTTGCACACCCATAAGTGAGCTAATTCTTCTCATTTCCCCTGACAGGGACATTTTGAGGGTTTGTCACTCACTGGTTGTTCAATGGTTTGGTACTTTTGGTGATTATTTTTTTGGTAGCTAATGTTAATGTTTGTGAGTTCCTCTAGGCAAGGACTGTTCATCTGAATATATATGTGCCATGACTGAAACATGTTGGTGGATAGTAGAATAAGCAAAATACTTTTTGTAGATGTTGCTTTAGCCTCAGCATGAAGGACATAGCAGAGGATTGCTCAGATGCCTGTGTTATCCCAAGAAGCTGAGCTGCCTTGACAAACCCCTATCTGTCTTTTTCAGACAGAGCTGGAGCAGCACTTAGTAAATGCCAAGGAAAAAGCTTCCCAGATGGAGGAGTTTTTCCCCAGACAAATGGCCAGTGAGGATCAGCAAGAGGTGCTAGGGCTCCTCTGCAGACCCCATGAGCTTGAGCTTGGCAACACAGAGCTGCAGGCAAATACCCTGTACAAGCAGAATCTGTTGTGCCAGAAAGATTTTGTGATCTAGCAACGGCAGCAGCACATGCTACTCCGCAAAGAAATTATTCAGCAGCAGCAGATGCTGATAAAAGGTAAAGCAGCACCTTTGCTCCTGGTCCATCACTATCTCCAAGCTTTGTTTTCTGATGGTAAAGTGGAGAACAGTCCACCCAGAAAACCTGGTCTTGGAAGTCATGACTCCACCATTCTCAGCTGTTTCTTTTTAACTCTTCCTCCCCACCTCTGCTCCAGCCCAGAACATCCCTGTCCCAAAGACACTGGTGAGGTTACACCACCTGCACCTTGCTGAGATGGAGGAGGGGGTGCTGAACGGCCTGCTTCTGCTACATTCAGTGATATCTGGCATGCTCAGAGTAAGGCAGAGCAGACCCTTGTGCCGTCCATTCCTCTCTGTGTTGTGTCACATTTGAGAGAGAAAACTGGCTTGGTGGCAAACAGAAAAGCAAAGGTTAGATGGCCATTTCACTCAGCACCCTGGAACAGGAGGGAGAGTTAGGAGCTCATCAATTGTTTTGTAGTCATGGCTCCATATGGGAGATAAAGAAAGGCAAAGCGTTTTGACTGTGTCTCTGTACATAAAAGCTGTTATAACAGTATTTCAGATGAAATATAATGTCTTCCAAATGTTTTAAAGTGCTTTGAAGGGAGAAGTATGAAAGCTTTGAATGAAAAGCAAATTATGCTGCAATTTGCTTTGATTTTTTAGCAGAAACCAACAGGTGTTGTTGCAGGAAAGATGACTCTCAGGCTGCGTTCCCCCACCTCTCTAGACTTGCATAGGAAAAAGTCACCTGCAGACATTGCTGCTGCTCCACTGAGTCTGGAAACTGCTGCCAACACCAAAAACATCTCCCTCATCGCAGCCAGTCACTGTTCCCGAGCCCAGCACAGAAACTCTGGCAGCAAAGTCCCCTCAGCCCCCTTTTCTGAGGAGGTTATGCTTGAACTGAAGTATCTGGAGGCCAATTCCACCCCAGATCGTCAGAGGAGAGACAGGGCACATATTGGGGGTTTGGTGTTGGAGCCTGTGGGTGGGAGCCAGCTGTGCTTTCCAGGCAGGGGAGTGCTGAAGAACAGGAGAAACCAGGAGATGTCTGCTGAGCTGACAGCCGGAAAGAAAAGATCTCACTCTCTCAAACCAAATTTCCACAGGGTAGGTCCTTCATGCTTCTTTCTAAAGGGGATGGGTTGAGCAGAAGGCATGGATCCAGTGGAGCGAGGGTGGTTTTTAAATACAGTAAAAGGAACATAGTACAAACTGCATGACAAGTAAGTTAAATATATTTATTCTTCTGTAACATCCTTGACCTTCTGCCTAAACAGCAAGCTAAGCCAGTCATGTGGGAAGGGAATCTTTCTGGTACAACGTGGCACCAATCAGAGGTGCAAGACATTACCACTGAGGTTAACTCAACTTGGTGCCTTTCAGATCTCAAAAGCTGAGCCTTGGACTCCCTCAAGCCCCAGTACAGACAAAGCTTGTGAGAACCACCTGCGCCAAGCTAGACTCTTTCATCAGTTAAAAGCTGCAAGCAGCATATCCATGGCCACAAAGGTCAACGTTCCCTTCATCTGCCATTCAGGTAGGGACCAAAGAGCCACTGGTGACATCCTGCATCAGCTGTGTTCAAAAGAAACAAGCCAGAGTAAATGCTAATGATCAGAACTGTTAGTAATCTAATCTAATCATTTTTTAATATAATCTAGGCAGCTTTTGATGGGTAAGAAAGCATATCCTTTGTAGACCACAATATTCTCTGTAATCTAGGGGTTGGAACAAGTTGCTGATCTCAGACACTTTCACATCAAACCAAGCCTCAGCAAGGAGACCAAGACAGGACAGGCTGACCACGTCAGCTGCAGTTGTTTTGCTTTGTGCAGACACACAAAGCCAGGATGAGTTTAGGGGAACTGGATACTGAAATCCTACTGAAATGTAGCCAGAACTGTTCCCCGTTCTGGCAAGGGGTGCTTACTGATGTTAATTAGAGGTTTTGTTTGTTCGCTTTGTTTTACTAAAAATTGTTACCTTTCAATCTACAATGCTATATTTTGGCTAGCTATTAGCAACCCATGCATTGCAAAATGTTGTTAAACCGTGCTCCACTCTCCCTGTTTATAACGAAGCTCTTCCTGCCTTTGACAGAGGGCACTCCACTAAGGTGCTGCCCAAAGGCAATGCTCCTGTAAGCACCACCCAGCAGTGCAACACTGATCACCTCAAAGGATGAGTCCTACAGAAGCAAGTCAAGGGTGCGTATGTGAAATACCAGGTTGGCTGGGTTGGAGGGCACTGCTATATCCTTCAGCACTTGCTCTGTTGCAATCTGAACCTAAAGAGCTGTAAACACAACACAGACGGTTTGGTTGGGAAAGCAGTCACATGGGTAGGGGTTTTACAGCCAAGTTTTTAGCCTTTTTTTTTTCTGCAACAGATGACATGGGCAATGTTCCAGAATGAGTTACACTGCATCTTCCTCTTAGCCAAAAATAACCTCTTAAGAAGAGAAAATAACATTTTCAGAGGTGTTCATAATCCTAGTCTAATCCATATGTGAAGTACCAAGTTTAATCTGAGTTAGCCATGTGACAACACGCTGCTTCCATTGAAAGTGTCACCTTGGGATTTTTCTTAAGGCAAGGATGTGCAGATCCTAGTGCCTCTGCCAAACTCGCCCATCCGCAGCCCATGGCAATCTGTCTCTTCCCCACTTAGGCTGGCAATGAAACTCAAATGGAAGCCTGAGAAACTTGACTGAGTGTTTCATCTTCCCTCGCTTGCAGGGCCTGCAGATGGTGCCAGCAGCCGGCAGAAGCAGCAGCCAGGTGCCCGCTTGGGGAACCAGCTGAGGACTAAGTAGAAGTTACTGGGGGAACAAGACTCCCTGTGGCCCCAAGGGATGGCAATTTTGAGACTGCTGAAAGTCAGGGAAGCAGGTGCAGGTGAAGTGTACCTTAAAATGCATTTTAGCTCCTGTGTTGCGATGCTGAAAAGCAGAGGGAAGGCGAGCAGGGGGAGAGGGACCTTGCACCTTGTAGATTATTTTTTCCACATCCCTACTGCAAGTCTTTCCCCTCTGTACTGTGCGCTTTAGCTGTTAGCTTCAGTTTAAGACAAATGGGCTGTTAACAGAGCCCAAAAGAGGAAAACCTCATTTTCCCAGCAGTCTTCCCTTCCCAGAAGATGTCAGCATGGAGCCCAAGCCACCTTCCCTCCCGGGGCAAAAGTGTGGATGCCACCCATGCACACAAAACACTTTCTGACTATTAAAACCAAATGTAAATGCCTGAGAAATAGTTTCCCCTCTCTTCCCCGCTGTCCCTGTGTGTTGTTGTGAAGCTGGGAGGTGTAACGTGTGCCTGGAATGCTGTTTGCGTGAGCAGATGTTTGGCAGTGTGAGCAGCAGTGATTGCTCTGAGCTCTTTTCCACCTACAGAGTGTTTCAGACCCGACTGCAGCCGGTAGAAGCAGCATGGTGACAGGTAAAAACCCTGGTAAGAGCTCACCTGGAGGTAAACTATGGGAAGGTGTTTTTCTTTTCAGAACAAATGTCTCCAGCCAACAGCCTTTTCCATAAGGAGCTTTTTAAAAGTATTTCCCCTGCTTTTTAAATATGCCTCAAATAAATCGGTTCTGGTCACAGCACTGAATAAATGGAGACTCCGTGCCCCAGACAGGAGGGGCTTCCCTTCTACGTCTGCTGAAGTATCTAAGATAATCTCAGGTGGGTTCATGCATTTTTTTCCAAACGGATGAAGAACCTTTTTTACAGCTGCAGCACTTGCAGAGAAGTCTCCTTTCTGACCTGCTGTGTGACACCGAGCATGCTGCTGTCCCTCTGTGCCTCTTGCTTTGGCTCCTGTCAAGATGAAGGATGGCTCACTCCAGGGATGAGAGAGCTTAAATTACTTGTATTTATAAAATGTGTTTTAAACCCCTGAAGTGGGGGTGCAATACAAGCATGCAAGCTGGCATAAGCAAGCGGCCAATTTTCTTTATGAAACAAAAAGTAGGAAGAGGTGTGATTGCGAAGTAAGAAGGTCAGGAAAACTTGTTCCCTGGGGCTGACTCTTTCACATAAACATAGATGTAAAAAAAGGACACACAGATAAAATAAGCACAGACTGTGTGTAAAACAAACCTGTGCCAGCAGATCTTGAGCCAAGCCTCTATTTACAAGACCTCACGTGACCTGCAAGCACTGAAGGACCGAAAATGAGGGAAAATGGAGTTTTCCAAGTGTATACATCTCCACCAAATACCTTTGGGCTGAATCACCATGAAAAGTTGCAGTGTTCAGAGCTGCTTCATGCAGAGTGAGAGATTTGAGCCGAATGCATCGGTTTGAGGCAGTATCTCTGAAGGGAGGTTGTGTAACACTGTTTGATAACTTGCCATGACTCTTGTGAAGAGTACGGAGCTGCGTGATGTGCTCATCTCTCTGTCTGTAAAACCTACATTTGAAGTCTGTTAATAAACATAAAAGTTGGGGATTGAGATTTCTGAGCTGGAATCTGTAAGTTATCATTTGTAGCTTTTATAATTGCTGGAGGTGAGGCTGCAGCCCATCACCTGCACAAAGTAGGACCATGCTCATTTTCAGCTCTGGACTAATGGCTTTTTGATTTGATCCTTCTTGATCACAGAAGAACAGCAAAAACGGAGCTCAAACTTTTCTGGGCTTTTCAAACATTATCTCCTAGCCTTGCTGTATCCAGTTATCTATACTTTGCTTGTAATAAAGACTGCTGGGCTAGAACCCAAAAAGCTGGATTTTCTTCCACAAAACAGCTTGAAACTGCATCTGTGAGCTCCTGCAAGCAGCAACGTTGGGTCCTGGGATGCTGCCAAATCTGAGTTACCACCATATCCGTTGCTAACTCTTCCCTGTTCTCTGTTGTTCCTGGGGCAGGGTAGATCAGGCACTGGACACGGGTCACCTCTGCAGCCTCTGAGCCCCTCCAGTCTGCAGGGAAATAAAATACCCACTCATAGTGTGGTGCGAGTTCAGCACTCATTTAAAAATTAGTTTTAGGTTAAACTTTCTTTGCTTAATTGCTTGAAGGGGGGTCTGGCAACGCAGCCCCATCTCGGAGAGCTCTGAGGAAAGAGTCATCTCTCCAGCTTTCGCTACCCATGGATTCCTCCAGTGGTCTCGGTTTGGCTGTGGGGAGGTGCCGGGAGCTGCTGTCCTTTCGCTC